GGTGGGTGGGTGTGGGCAGGGGTTGTTGGACTAAAGGTAAGTGGAGTGCTGGGAGATTACATTTAGCTCTTTGTGGATAACATCTATCATTCCAGCGATGCATAAAGTATCCTATCAGAGGCTAAGCCATYGAGTGTGGATTGAGTCAATTCCAGGGGCCTAAAACCCAAATGTGATACCAGACTGTGTGTGACCAGACAGAGACGCACTGATCAGGCTGTAAGCTGCATCAAACAGTGGTCTGTCAAATGCCTCGTACATAGGAGGCGAGWTYAAAACTGCCCTGTTTGAYGCAAACAAAATATAAATTGGTAMTGAGTCACAAAATCGACRGAAARAACAAAATTCGAACAAAAACGATGAATGAAGTTTGGGGGAAAATTTGCATTCCAAGCATAAAAAAACAAAAGACAACCTGACAGGTTTTGTTTAATAATTTAATAAATACATCATATGACACTCATAGTGATAACGTCAACATACTAGACAGATTTTTTTTAAATCTTATTGCTGCACAGGTGAAACAATGTTATTATATCTTTTTTAATGCAGTTTGCAAAATAAAATGCAGCAGAGCATGAAGAAARCAAACACGTCCCTGTGTGCTACAGATATCAATGTCATGTTAAGGTTTAGGACATGATGACGATGAGACACGCGCCAACCGATTCAAAACTTTTGTAGAACATTAAATTTCCACAGAAATGGGAATTTCTCATGCAGTTTAGTCAGGGAATTCTATGCCGGTCAAATCTGCTCGATTCCACCATGCCAACTCAATATGGTAGCCAGCCCGTTGATCATTGTTGGCAAAAAAAGAAAGTGCAAAAAATGACAGGAAACCAAGTTTTTTATCATGTAAAGCAGCACGCACAACTTTAGACAGTCAATACACACACACTCTATTTTCCCATATTCATATGACCGCATATAATTTAAATAAAGCAGTCAAGCTTTGTCAATCACCCTCCGATTTACAGAACCCACATTTTTACAAAGGAATTCACTCACTTCTCTGTTCAACCAGAAGAATGCACTTTCATAGCTCCAATGGAGYTAGCGCCTTGCATTAAGGAATTACAGGCATGATAATATCAACAAAAACAGTGCAATTTTACATTCCTTGTCAATGACAAAACTTTATCCACACCATCYGTTTGTAAACTACTTGGTGTGCGTGTGAAGATAAAATGAGCGAAAATAAAAGTGCATGCAGGACACTGATTAATAAATCTGTTAAAATACTGCAAGTTTGCTTTCTCTCTGAGAGTCCGAACAGATTGTCATCACTCTTTCGCATGTTTCATAAATGTGACGTTACAGCCAGTGGTCTATCAACTGAATGTAGCGTCGAATCACTTTCTTAAAGTTTTCCAACATGTTCACCACAAAATTGGCTATGAACGAATGAATAGATGGATACACAAAACACTGCCRAACTATCAGCTAGAGATGGGAGGAATAGCTCTTTCAAGGGATCCGGATCTTGATGAGTCCTTTCTTTCACAGAGTCGTTCAAAAGACAAAAGTGACGTTTGATTCTGAACAAGTAACGYCATCACGTCCCGTGGGCGGAACCGCGTTTTGTCTAACAGAATACCCCACCCCTTTCCYCTGAGCTGCTGTCCTCCACCGCTCRGCCTGTTTTCCTTGAAACAGCAAAGGGGGGGAGCCATGACTCTATGGTTACAAAAGAAAAAAATATTGTATGAGGATTAATAAAATGAAAGTAAGACCGTCTCTTTACTGTCCACAACTTGGTTCCTATCGTTCGTTGTAAGGAGCCGTTCAAAAGATTTGGATCGTTCATGATTTCTATCAGCTCACTTTCTCTTTAACTTTATTTTGCTACATCAAGAGCATTAAATCCAAAATCGTGGTAACTTTTAATAGATCATTACTTWATTTTTTTTATTCTTAGTAAAAACTGAAACAGGTGTGCCCTCTAAAATAGAAAATCACTCAGAAATTGCTCTTCTGGTGCGTTCACACCAAACGCAATTTCAGCATCAGGAGCATCAGGTTTACATGCAAAGTCTATGGTGGAAGCACTTCAATCAGCGTCGGGAAGTGCTGCGGCGCCTCAAGCGCGATTAGAGCAGCGCAATTTGAACGATTTGAGCATTCGACGACGCGCAAATCACTGAAGTTAGAAAATCGGAACTTTTGCAGCTCGTCGCGCCGCATCAACCAATCAGAGAGACTCCACTGTGTGACGTGGCGACATATTTCCCGACGGGACAGCTTACTGAATGATGTCCACTAACCTGAAACAGACGGAGAGGAGCTCTTTAGCTGAAATCGAGTGCCTGCAGTCGGTGTCCTGACAGAAGATATCTGCACCAATGCGTGGCAGCGGCTCATCAGACTGGACTCGGGACAAAAATAGTCCTGAAAGCGAGCTGTGAGCCTCTCCCGCAGCTGCTGGGTGACGAAACTCAGAATGTCTCTGAATTATCTGGTGAATTAATTATGAATTAATTATCTGATGAACGTGACATGCTCTTRCTCTCTGTAAATAAAGCAAAGCCACTTCCTCGTCCGACATTAAACAGAGCCCGACAGAGGAGGGAGGGGCGGGGAGGCTCTTGCCGTGCAGCGCTTCAAGAGCTGACCTGCGTCTGACCTCAAAGTGCACAAGCGACCAACTTGAAGCGTTGGATGCGATTTTGAAGCTGAAATCACGTTCGGTGTGAACGCAGCATTCCTCTGCTGTATTTTGATAATCTAGTTTTCCTCCTCCACCACCATGTATTTCAGTGTTTAAGTGCTGCTAGGCAGGTTACGGTTTCTTTCTGCTCTCAGGCGTTATGCTGCATAAAGCTACACATCTCATGACAATAGCTTCATTCAGTATTAAAGAGCAAATGGAATCAACCTTTTAAACTCTCTGAAAGAAAGCACACGAGTGTAATTCACACGCTGAGTTATAACTTAAAGTAAAACTCAACGCAACGTCAGCAGTGTGAATGAGTGAAGAAAATACGAACTGTTGCAAAGGAAGGTTAAAAAAACAAAAACAAAAAAACAAACTCCCTGAGGGCTAAAATCCTACTTGTATAGGTGCTAAATCTACAGGACCTTTCATTAACAAAATGTGATTAGATTTTCATTTACTGTACTTTTCTGTTTTGATTAAAAAATGATTGCACTGGGGCAATCACTGATTTCTTTAGCTAGCTAAAGCAACTAAATAATTTAGTACAGATTCMTTTTTTCAGCACTGACTGGAGCAGCTACACTTATTAAGAACATGATTACAGACATTATAAATATATCAAATAACTAAATTATTGTTCAACACAACTGTCGGTAAAATGCCCTTTAAATGACTTAGAATGTTTTTCTTTTTTTTTTTTTTGCAAGTGGCAGATGGTGCAGCCGGACAGATGTATGCAAGGCAAAGATAAAAAAAAAAAAGTCACTTCAAGGAAGAAAAGCTGGTGAATGAGATTTGGTACTGAGAAACAGAAACAAAAGAATGGAAGTYAGGAGTTATGAAATTAATTAAAGGAAAGGACAATGGTAGGAAGGGAGGAGAAAACAGATGGAAGTAGAGATGAAAAGAAACTGTGGACAGAATGGTGTTCAGGAAGATGGATGACAAAGATGAAAGAAAAGGGAGAGAAAGGGGAAGTAAATAAAGGAATAATAAAAGGATCACTTYGTGAAGTTCTTATATCAAGAGAGGTCGTTGAGTCCACCGCCTTGTTCGATGACCGCCTTCGCGTACTGCTTGAAGACGCGGTCCATGTAAGTGCTCTGTCGTGGCCACAGGCCCTCCAGGAAACCAATGTGACCACCGTGACACGTAATCAGCAAGGCCAGGTGAGGATTCTGCTTCACTGCTTCTACAGGAATGGCTGCAAAAACAAAAATGGGGGATCAGTTCTTGTCGTTTTATTTCTGGTTTTGGTTCATAATGGTCATACTACACCAATAAATAAATAAAAAAAATCCTTGTGCAGCAGATCAATGCTGCTGAATGATGCTACGATTAACTCCTGATTGCTGTAAGCCTCATTGTTGAGAGCACTGTATTCTGTTATTAGAAAATGTATGTGAACATATGTCACACCAAACGCTGTGCACTAAAATAAATTGAGTATTTTAATTATCTAAAAAAAACATTTCTTAGACTACTTTCTGTATTTGGAACATGTTCACATCTGCAGGAGGGCTGAGGAGCTTAAAAAGAGAAGTCCTGCAGTTCAACCTTGTGGCCCAAATATAAGGCTCTACATTACAAACAACTGTGTGAGTGGTCAGAACTTTGTAGGCGTGTTTATGCAGAAAAGTGGCCGCAGTACACTGATCTAATTTCACTTCAACTGCTCTGCTGAGAATTAGATTGCAGAGGCTGTTAGAAATTACAGCCGTCTTTACAACTGTTCCAGCAAAGCCTATAAAGGTAGTCAAATAAAACTTTTAAAGGAAGTCAAAGAACTTGTGGAAGGAAACAGCATTTTTTTTTTTTCTGTGCACCGAGGAGACAGAGGAGACACGGGCGCCTCTCTGCGGTGGTGCTGTCCGAGAGAGTGCGCCCCGTCCGGACAGCGTTAGGGACACGCTGTCTGTCAGAAACTGTCCCGGTCTCTTTTTAACAAACTTAAAAAGTAGCATTGCTCCTGAGTTGACAACAGAAAWACTTCTTCCTCCTCCAACTCCTCCATCATCATCTGAAAATAAACTCTGCCAACTGTTCTCTTGCCATGCAGTTTCTGTTTGTGTGTGATGTGGGCTGCAGTGGGTGAACAGTGGGAGCTTACCAGGACCTCTCCCCCTGCATTTTCTATTTGAGCATAGAATGTTCACGCAAAAAAAATTAGTTATTGCAACCACTCCAGCGAGATTAGATGTCTTACGTCTTATGAAGTAAAAAGACTATGAAGCACCGGACTTATTTAAGCTAAAAGAAGCCGAAGCTAAAAGGAGCAAATGCTAGGTAAAGCACTGAAAGGCTAGCTAAAAACTAAAAGTTGCAGAACATCAAATAAAAAAATACAAGTAGTCTAAGAAAACAAAAACAAATTTGCTGAAGCCGTTTTTAAGCCAATAGAGTCAGTTTTTCTAAGTTTGAGGCCACGGTTCTCGACCAGAAAGGGGTGGAAGGCCCCCTCCAGGTCGGGGAGAAGCCTGTGCCTCAAGTGGAGGAGTTTAAGTATCTTAGTGTCTTGTTCATAAGTAATGGCAGGATGTAGTGGGAGATGGATTAATGGGGCCTCATCCTCAGTAATGAGGGCGTTGCTTCAGTCAGTCGTGGTGAAAAAAGAGCTGAGTACATTGGATGGAGTTCTATCAGGGCGCAACCTGCTCAACTGCTACCAAATGGTGAGGAGACTTCATGACAATGGTCTGTGTGATGGCTGTGGCATTGAATTAGAGCTTTTTGCACTACTTTAGGCCACTGCCTGGCTCTGAGCAGTCAAAGCAAGAGAATTATTGGGGACCCCTTTATGGATCCTGAGAAGCTCAGAACACTGATTGTTTCTAACTTTGTCTTTTATCAGAGGAATGCAAAGATTTGATTAAAGCTTAGTGTCTTTTTGGGGAGAGAAATGGGCCCACTTACAAGGCCCTGCTTGTATGGGTTCATCCATCTCCACTCACCAAACCAAGGCCTGAGTCGAAAGGCAAAGCTCTTGATTTACTGGTCTGTCTACGTTCCAATCTTCATCTACAGTCATGAGGAATAGATTAAGACCAAACGAATGAGATCAAACATACAAGAGGYTGAAATGAGCTTCCTTCATAGGGTTGCCGGGCTCAGCCTTAGAGATAGGGTGAGGGTCTCCATCATCCAGGGGGAGATAGGTGTAGACCCGCTGCTCCTCCACATCAAAAGAAGTCAGTTGAGGTGGTTCTGGCATCTGATTACAATGCCTCGTGGTTGCCTTTCTTTAAAGGTGTTCTGAGTAGGAGGCCCAGGACTCACTGGAGGAATTGTGTATCCTCTCACACCTTGGAGTTCCCCAGTACGGGCTGGAAAGTGTCACTGGGGAGATGAATGTCTGAGTTTTTCTCCTACATCTATTGCCTCTGCGACCTGACTACGGCTAAGCAGAAGAAGATGTATGGATGGAGATTTTAATTGCAATGTTGTGGATTCTAYGCAAACTTGGCAACTGTGTTGTAATGTCTCATTCTAGAATTACCAACTTGTTGTATCTGTCTGTAACCTAAAATAAGTACTGTAATCACGTCTGCGTCAGCTCCATATTATACAGTATGTAATCAAAATAATGAAACTACAATGAACTTTCTGAAAGTGCCACAACTCACCGTGAGAAGGAGAAAAGACATCATCAGCAGCRTTCAGACACAGCATTGGCACTTGCACAGACTTCAGCTTGTGGACAGGACTGGCGTCCCTGTAGTAGTCATCATTAGTGGGATAACCGAACATTATGGACGTGAACCTTTCATCAAACTCTCGGATGGTTTTAGCCTGTGGGGAGCCGTTAAAAAAATCAATTCGGTCCACTTTTTTGAGATAACATTAAGTTGGTTCAACGTTAATGAAAATAATCCCTACCTTCATGACATGATCAATGTCATAACACTGTTCGAGCACCGGCCTGTGTCTGCAGGGGGAACAAAAAATCGATGATACTGTCACTGACTGCTTTGGTGAGATGTAGKTAACGACATCATGAAAGGGAAAACCTTTTAGAAAGATGGTATATCGAGCATTTAATACCAATTATATAAAAAAATCAGTTTGTGTGCAGCGTTCTACCAGYGTGTAGGTGGATTTGTTAATCCTGCTCTGGCCCTGGCTGACCTGTGCACAGAGGCTTGTAGGCAGCTGGTGAGGTAGGAGTTGAAAAGGAAACGGTCCAGGGGTTTTTCCAGCGATGCRGAGCACTCAAAGACATCCCAGCCTGCTGAGAAGACTATAACCCCTTTTAGACAGGTTTCCCGGCCCTTGCGGCCCAAGTAGTTGGCCAGCATCATCCTGAATATGGAGAGAGGGAGAGCTGAAGGGACAGGCGGGGATTCYATTTCAACCCAATCCCTCAATTCAGAGGATTAGGGTTGTGCAACGAAAAATCGCACTGAACTACTGGGACAAAAATCAAAGCTTTGCCGTGTCCAAACCGACACGGAAATGACTCTCATGGTGTTTATTTTCGTGTTWAATGTTTTGCAACCACTGCCAAACTTGTAACACTTTCTGAAAATGATTGTTAGTGTCTGCCACTGCTAAAATGTTTGCTTACCCTCCCATGGATACGCCAGCAGCCATGACTGGAGCGGCTCCATGGGTTTTCTGGATGTGCTCAATAACAGTCTCCAGATCTTCTGTGTTGGCTGCGCAGTAAGTCCTCGGGGTCTGAGAGAGCGAGACAGAATATCAAACCACTTGTTTCTCTTTGCTTCCATTCATCTTTATAATCATAATAACGACCACACAGGAATATTGGGACATTTAAACCTAAATAACAGTCTCACAGCGACACACAGGTTCAGTCGCTGGCTTTAATGCACACAAGCAACATTTACAAAAAGTTCTGTGAAGTTTCCACCTGAGCCCCGTTGCCCCGTGCGTGCACGTCTTACTTATTGCAAGGCATAAATACTGCTGCACTGGATCCATTTTGAGTGTAGCTGCCATCACTAGCATCACTAAACAGCCCAACAAGAGCATACAGAGCAGCTGGAGAAAATTAAAAATGTTTGCACATTTAACTGACAAACTCTGAATTTTAATAAAAGCATTTCATAACGTTGCAAAAAGAATCTCTATGTAAAAGAACTGGTGAAGCAAATGTCTTGTTTTCTGACATGAACGTCTTGTTTGTGCTTCTCTATATCATAAGAAAATGTGAAGTCACACTTGAGAGTTAATCATAAATTGCCACTGTAGAACAAAGTTATGTTGAGCTGAGAACTGAGGTACACAAGTATGTAAATATTCATGGATCTTCACTTTTCATTCATTCATTTCATTCAATGTTTAGACAGCATCAAACTGARTGGAGGAAGTTTTACAAGTTTTTATTCACTCAGCTGCTTTGGTTCAATTTTAATCTGGTCCTCTATTATTTAAGAAGCTCTGCCTGTGCTACTGCTCAAATACAGATTCACATTTAATTATAAAATGTTTCATAAATTAGGTACAAAATTCAATTAGAATGTGTTATGGTAATTATTTATTTAACAACAGAGACAGAAATACGTGGTCCAAGAATGAAGGTACTCCATGAGATGATCAGCTGAGTTTTATTGCAACAACAGGAAACACAGAGAACGTGGCCTGTCTCTGTGCCTCTGCTTCTCCTCTGTCACTGTCTCTCCACACTACTGTTGAACACTGTTGAACTCTGTTCACCGCCGAACTCTGTCTACTCCACTGAGAGGCCTCATATATATATTAACAAACACCATTCAGTCGTCTTAGCAAGATTTGATACAAGGTCAATGGAAAACACAAAGATAAACACAAGTGATATCTAAGAATGATTATTGTTGTTAGCAGATCTTGTTCTGACTTTAATCATTCTGTCTGCAGATGAACAGCATGGCATGAAAACCTACGTCATTAAAGGATGTCATGAATTACTGGCTTAAACATAAAGGTATTAGTTCTATTACAGAATGTTTGTGATTTACTTTGTAATTTTGTTAATGGCATTTATTTTTATTTTGCAAATGCAAGCTTAGAAGCAGGGTATACAAAAACCTGAAACAATCTGAGCTCATCAGCTGCAAATACAAGGACTTCTACACTGCTGCACATGATAGAACTGTTATATCACTCTGCTGCAGTTCAGTAACGGCTCGAGGCAGGGACGAACAGCCAGCTCRGTGTTTATCCCAACGTAAAAGGCTTGTTTTCTCTCTGGGTGTTTCAAGTCGAAATGAAAAGGGAAATCGAAAGAAATGAGGGACTGCTCACTGTAATATCTAAAGTTATATTAGTCTGACATGTTTTATTATCAGTAGACAGAGTTGGTTGCTTAACATACCGGTAATTACCCCAGACAAGAGTGTCACAAAAGCAGCTGTCGGAGTCTACAGTGCAACATTTGCTATCCTGCATCAACGACTCAGGAGGAATGAGGGGCTGCAGATGATCAAAAACTAAAATATCTGTGTTAGGAAGAGTCTCAGTGACACAGCCCTGAGCTGCCTCTGACTGGCATGTGTTAATTACCAAAAGGGCACAGAGCCAGCTTCTTTATCTTTTTTTCAGAAAATAGAACCAATATTTAAAAATAGACGAAGTCTAGAAGGTCAGGTTTCAAAGTATCAAATCTATAAATGTATAAAGGACAGAAAAGATGTGACGCTTTGACTCTGTGCATACAAATATGCAAAAAAAAGTGAACAAGAAATACTTTTCAAGGTTCAACATGTGCTATGTTAAACCTTGATGATGTTTTTCATGTGCTATTATTGTTTAGTTTGGCCTTTTTTGGCAGTGATAAGAGGGCTTTTAGATTTTTCTTGGAAAAAATGCTCAAATGCTTTCCAATTGTAAACAGAAATAAGAGCAGGTCACTTAATATTTTAAACAAGCCTGCCTGACTTGGCATATTTAAGAAGGGAACATTCTCAGGATGGAGTTTGGCTTTTTAAAGCATCCAAATTAGGATTCAAGAAGAAACTTAGCCCAATTAAATGACTGTTTTTCTCTTCTCTGGGCCTGGAGACCAGTTAACACTTCACAGGAACAGTGAAACTCACTCAGAGAAATCTAATAAATACAATATGTATGTAGCTAAAATAAGAGAATTGGGGTAGTTAGGGGAGAATTTGGCAACTACTCTGTAGAGTCATATTGTATAATTTGGATTTTTAAAGGTCTAACAGAGTAAAATGTATTCAGAATAGTGTTTGTGGCAGGGTAATCTTGRACACAGTGGCTCATTTGAAAGCTCAGGCCGTAGTAAACAATGGAGGATATTCACTGTATCTGAACACAGAGAACTCAGTCACACTGAGTGTTCAACGACTGGATCATTTGCATAAAGTACAGTATAAATCTCAGCTGAATAAGAGGGAGAATTCCTTTCTTACCCCCAACCACCTGACACAGTTCCAAGGTGACAGGGTTCATAATCAAATTTAATACAGCTGAGTCAACAAATCTCTACATGTGACCTGCTGTACAACAGAGTTTTAAATCAACTYGAATGAAACTGAACACTTTGTTTCACTGTTGTTAATGTTCGGAGGTGAAAACAGAACGCCAGACACTGATTCTGATTCTTATCAACAAAAAGCAACACATTACACAAGTAATGAAACCCAGCTAAGCTCTGGATAAAAACTCCATCTGGTAGTGGTGATATAATAAAATCTGAAGGATATTTCAAGAGATCACTTCAGCTCTAAATGTGCACAGAGACAGTGGAGAAGTACTTGGTATTCAGTAATCACGCTCTGTTTTGTTGGTTAAATCTACCTCAGTGTACAAGGACAGATTAAACCAGGTGTCAGAGTGGAATGTGCTTTTGGTGAGGTCATCTTTCTCTGGATCTGAACCAAAAACAAAACATGAGCCTGGAACTTAATCCYGGCAGTGCAACAACACAATTTCTGCTTCTTCCACTTGCAATTCTTTTGGGCCTTAAATGCACCGGGCAAAGAATATTGTTCGGAGCTGCGGAACAACAAAAAAAAGGACAACTCTTTCACAAAGCTAAAAAGAAAATCACCAATTCAAACATTTATTTTAAGCTCCATACCTCTTCCTAAAAAGTATATATACAAGTATACATATACTGTATGTAGAGTAAACACTATATTGTACCATATGTTGGATTCTTACCAGCAATGTTTCACCGGAAACCCCTCTGTTGTTGAATACCACACATCTGAAAAACAGAAACAAGTACTTTTGATTTCATGTATCATAACTTCATTCATTTAATCTAATGATGCAAAACCTAAATGTTCTAAAACGATTCACAACAAATCAGTTTATCAAAGTATTTCAAAAAGACAAGAAAACAGAAGCAACAGTTTGTTCCAGCTCTGATTAGATTGGTAGCTGCTGATATTTGTTATTTTACAGCTGAACCACATCTTCCTATTAACAAACCTTCACATAGCACTACTTCCTGTGAATATGTGTGTTTATTCAGATATTATATAGGTAATATTACATAAATATGATGAAATGTGTCAAGAACTGCAGCTCTGTAGAGGGCATTCTGCATGTGTCGTCAAGCATCTCTCCTCCTTCCATTTCACCAGTCATCGATTATCTGCTGGAGTCAGACACGCTGTGTTGATCAGTGGAAGTCGGCGGCGTTGTGCAGCGACGTGGGGCGTTGGGCGGGAGGAAGCGGGGCAGTGGCAGTGGGGGTGCTTAAACGTGCTCTGCAGTATGGACACGGAAGCTGGTCGGGAGCTAAGCTGCAAAGCTTGTACAGGGATAAGCTGCAATTAATTAAGCTATACAGACAAGCATGAGGGCTGGAAGATGCTGAGTTTGCCAGCTCTCTTCCCAGTTATCCAAAATCTGGGTGAAAGAATGAGTGCAGAGAACACAGAAAAATGAGTCTGTTGTAGGGATGGGCATAACCGTATCGTGTGCAATTAATCGTCAGAAAAACATTAATCAATTATTTTTTGACACTTGACAATTAATACGATTAATGCCACCAGGCAGACTGACTGGAGATTTCCCGTCAGTCCGCTTGATGCTCCTCTCCGTTTTAAATGTGATGAGCATTTTTGAAAAAAAGTTCTGAAATTTACTTATCATATCATTTTACTTGTTCTCTCAACAAATTTTGATGTATAACCTGAAGTCTGTCATTTTGACACAATTTGGAACAGATTTTTACAGAGAGCAAATCTTAACCACTAAATTGGTCATGTGACTAGGACATGAGGGCGTCCAGGGACTACAGGGGATTAATCGTCAAATTAATCGTTATCGGCTAAATACCACAATTAAACGTGATTAATTGTTTTGCCCATATTGCCCAACCCTAGTCTGTTGGAGACAGAGGAAACCAGGAGGAAAAGTGCATCCTTAGGCAACTCTTCAAGAGCTGCTACTTAAACAAAAAACAAAAAAAAAGCTCAGCTAACCCTTTTGTTGGTGCACTTCACCTAAAATGACCCATTCAATTGGACGGAAACACTATAAAACTCAATGGATAACTTTACATTCACAGAAGCTAAATGTGTTTGTTTTCAACTACACAAGAAATCTGCACTGGAGATAGATGTCAAATGACAACAACACAAGCTGCTTCAGTCTGTGATTCACCGCTTTGAATGTCTGTTCAGCGTTGGACTGCAGCCAGCGTATCTGTCCAAGACCACCCACCTATAGCCCAGATCCCGGCTCTGCTGGACCATGTGCAGGATGTAGGACTCTCGGCTGGTGCCGGTCAGACCGGGGAGGAGGAGGACAGTGGGCCTGGTGGCGGGGTCGGGATAAGCAAGGCTGTCATCATTGTCAAACCAATCCACAGATATCTGTCCTCCATCTGCTGCCTTAATAAGCTCACTGCAGAGAGGAGTGGAACACAGAGTTCAGCAACATGGCTCTTTCTGAAACTAATCTGTCTGTCTGTCTGTTTGTCTACCCACCTATCTATCTATCTATCTATCTATCTATCTATCTATCTATCTATCTATCTATCTATCTATCTATCTATCTATCTATCTATCTATCTATCTA